CACGCTAGGACTGGTACACCTGTGTCTCACTTCACGCTAGCACAGGTACACCTGTGTCTCACTTCACGCTAGCACAGGTACACCTGTGTCTCCACGCTAGCACAGGTAAACCTGTGTCTCACTTCACGCTAGCACAGGTACACCTGTGCCTCACTTCACGCTAGCACAGGTACACCTGTGTCTCACTTCACGCTAGCACAGGAACACCTGTGTCTCACTTCACGCTAGCACAGGTACGCCTGTGTCTCACTTCACGCTAGCACAGGAACACCTGTGTCTCACTTCACTCTAGCACAGGTACACCTGTGTCTCACTTCACGCTAGCACAGGTACACCTGTGTCTCACTTCATGCTAGCACGGGTACACCTGTGTCTCACTTCATGCTAGCACAGGTACACCTGTGTCTCACTTCACGCTAGCACGGGTACACCTGTGTCTCACTTCACTCTAGCACAGGTACACCTGTGTCTCACTTCATGCTAGCACAGGTACACCTGTGTCTCACTTCACTCTAGCACAGGTACACCTGTGTCTCACTTCTTGCTAGCACAGGAACACCTGTGTCTCACTTCATGCTAGCACAGGAACACCTGTGTCTCACTTCTTGCTAGCACAGGAACACCTGTGTCTCACTTCACGCTAGCACAGGTACACCTGTGCCTTACTTCATGCTAGCCCCAGGTACACCGTGTCTCACTTCACACTAGCACAGGTACACCTGTGCCTTACTTCATGCTAGCACAGGTACACCTGTGTCTCACTTCACGCTAGCACAGGTACACCTGTGCCTTACTTCACGCTAGCACAGGTACACCTGTGTCTCACTTCACGCTAGCACGGGTACACCTGTGTCTCACTTCATGCTAGCACAGGTACACCTGTGTCTCACTTCACACTAGCACGGGTACACCTGTGTCTCACTTCACTCGTCCTTCAGTGTACACCTGCAACACTGACCAAGTTTTTTGTAATGTTTATGTGAATGATCACAAATTGTGTAACGAAATTAATACTGATATTTCTTACAATTAGTTCTATGTTATTGTTATTTTCTTCCAATGTTGGGTGCCACTCAATGGACATATTATATTCAAATTCAAATTCAAATTCAAAGTTTATTCTCTATAAAGATTACAATGTTGAATTTACAGAATTTGGTTATTGTGTGGTTTACATGTAGTTAAATAATGATTACAGAGTGTACCACTAGAACGCCTAGCATGGCTAGGCATTTCGGGCAGACTTAGTTTAATTCTTAATTTTAAAATATTACAAATTATGAGGTAAGTTGGTATTATGGCTAAGTGACTAAAGACTAGTTTGTGAGTTTAGCAATGTGAATGCTTTTGTTTTGGCACAGTACATAGTTTCAGTATTGGAGTATCATAGGATTCATTATTTTAAGATTGAGATTAATATTTCTGTTTATGGTCAAATGGGTGAGTGTAAGTGTGAACCACCAGGTGGTATGGGGAAAAGAACTTAATAAATTTGGTTGATTTATATTTAAATCAAATAGTGTTTATTTCATGTTTCATCTGTGCTTGCATAATCCAAATATATCCCTTTCTCATAATATTTCTCAGTAATAGGCCTTATACTTGAGTCTTTAGGGCATACAATCAAGGAGTTGGCCGTTGGCATCACCAGACCTCTGCACGCCACTGGGCTTTCTGTGTAGTGGTACATGTATGTCATTGATGTCACCTAGGTTCATTACCTTTGTAAATTGTGAGTTCATTACCTTTGTAAATTGTGAGTTCACTACCTCTGTAACTTGCTCAGCTATCAAAACTTTGGAGTCCAGTCCCTGGACCAATTATGTACCTCTGTAATCTTTTGACTACCGCCCACAGGATGGGTATGTGGTGCATAATAAACATATTAAACTAACTAGGCCTGTATACCTTGTACATGTACTTGTAGTAAATAAAGATATTATTATTATTATTATTATTATTATTATTATTATTATTATTATTTAGCATGTGTACAGGACCCGTTCTGGGGGCAGTTTTATAGGATGAGCAGGAATAAATCTTTATATGATAGGGCACAAGGGCAAAGTTTCCCGATGGGTTATTTAGGATTTAGTGTGGAGAGATTATAAGTAATTAAGAAAGTTTATTCAGGTATATCCAAGAACTAGCTACAAGCAGTATTAAAACAGGGAAGTGTTTTTGGGTATGCCCAAATGAGGAAAATCTGTGGACTAAAATCACAAGGGTATTAAAAGAGGACAACATCAAAGCTGCTTTCACAGACAACCTGGAAGCTTTCTACAACAGATGGGAACATAAAAAGTCTGGGCTGAATGGTACTGCCCTTGATACTGGCCATGTAGTCAGAAACTGTAAGGCTGGAGGTGATGTCCTGGTAGTCAGTAAATGTGGGGCTGATAGTGCTGTCTTGGGAGACAGTAATGGTGAAGCTGGAGGTGCTGTCCTGGGAGACAGTAATGGTGAAGCTGGAGGTGCTGTCCTGGGAGACAGTAATGGTGAAGCTGGAGGTGCTGTCCTGGAAGACAGTAATGGTGAAGCTGGAGGTGCTGTCCTGGGAGACAGTAATGGTGAAGCTGGAGATTTTGTCCAGGTAGTCGGGAATTATACGCAGGAATGAATACATATAAATGACCTCATAGGGGACAGGAGCCGTCGTGGGGAAACAAGTGTAGTCAAAGATAAGATAAAACCAATATTGCAAACTAGAAATACCACAGGAAATAGCAAACAAGAGGACTCCACTAGCTATAGTGAGGATATATTACCAAAAACAACTGGTGGGAGCTCCATTGTTGGTGCTAGGGAAGACAGGAATAAGACAGGGAAACATGCACCAACAGGAAATACAGTCACAGAAACCCAAGGCAAACGGAAACCAAGCCTGTGCACATACTATGCACTTCAAATTCAAATTCAAATTCAAATTCAAAGTTTATTCTCTATAAAGATTACATGTTGAATTTACAGAATTTGGTTGTTGTGTGGTTTACATGTAATTAAATAATGATTACAGAGTGTACCACTAGAACGCCTAGCATGGCTAGGCATTTCGGGCAGACTTAGTTTAATTCTTTATTTTAAAATATTGCAAATTATGAGGTAGTTGGTATTATGGCTAAGTGCCTAAATACTAGTTTGTGAGTTTAGCAATGTGAATGCTTTTGTTTTGGCACAGTACATATTTCAGTATTGGAGTATCATAGGATTCATTATTTTAAGATTGAGATAATATTTCTGTTTATGGTCAAATGGGTGAGTGAGTGTAAGTGTGAACCACCAGGTGGTATTCGTGTAGTTAGTTGATGGATGTATCAGGGAGATAAGATGTTTTCTAATGGTAGTTTTGAAGGTGATGAATGTGTCTGCAGTTCTAGAGTTCTCAGGTAGGGTGTTCCAGATTTTAGGGCCTTTGACATACATTGAATTTTTGTAAAGGTTTAGTCAGACATGGGGAATGTCCGTAGAGATGTTTGTGTCTGGTGTTATGCCTGTGGGTTCTGTCACAACTATCAAGAAAGCGTTTTAGGTCAAGTTTGGGATATTGGAGTTTAAGGTCCTGTAGATGTGGGATTGCACAGTAGTAAGTGTGGATGTACTGAACAGGGAGTAAGTTTAGATCTATGAAGAGTGGGGGGGTGTGTTGCCAGGGATGGGATTTAGTGATTATTCTTACTGCAGCTTTTTGTTGGGTTATTATTGGCTTTATGTGTGTTGCTGCAGTTGATCCCCAAGCACAAATAGCATAGGTGAGGTATGGATAAATAAGTGAGTGGTATAGTGTGAGAAAGGCATTTTGCAGCACGTAGTATCGTATCTTGGAGAGGATCCCAACCGTTTTGGATACTTTTTTGGTTATGTGTTGGATATGCTTCCGTAGTTCATTTTAATTATTACCTTCAAGATGTGTGTGGGGAGGAATAACAGAGCTATCAAAATATCAAGCATACTCATTCTTATTGCAATAAGTTTCTCTATTTTCATACAGTAAAACGTATTTTGTTTTATTGTCATCATTTGAAATGATATCATTCAGTATTTTATTACTGCGGACATTATTTTTCTACTTTACGTAATTATAATAAAATTTACATTTTTCTTAGTAAATTCTAGAGATTATTGTAGATAATTTTTTTAATCTTACTCCGAATATGTATTGATAGAATACTATATGAATGCAACAAAATACAAGAGAATGTATTGTACAGTAATAATAGTATTAACTGTGTATTAAAATTGACGCTGATTTAACTCTGGGAGAATGTGTGCCTGCGCGGGCAGGAGAGAGACGCCATAATGACGACTGAGTGAAGTCGGGTGAAAAAAACCCCGTCGAATTAAATCAAGCTTCATCGAGGACAAACTGTGGCGAAACGGCCTCAAATGAGCAGCAAATAATGCGGTGATACACTACACTGCGAACTGTAAAGAAATAGTGAAGAAACCACTACAAGAGAGTGGATAACTGGTGAAATAAGGAGTTCGCCATATTGAAACTGAGTGTGTTCGCCATATTGAAATTGAGTGTGACCACAAGGAAATTTGGCGTGAATATATCGGTGTTTCCGGAGGTTTAATTGGGCTCAAATCTCCCAAATAGGAGTAAGGCAAATCGGAAATACAGTCTTGCTGAAAGTGTAAAGACAGTAACGTTGCAGGACCTCAATAACTGGAGTGTGAACGAAGGGAAATAAAGCCATCAGCACCCAAAGCTCAGAAAAACTTCTTTTTATGTTGAGCTATCTGGCCAGTTTAGTTTCTTTATATTAAGATAGTTGTTGTGGGTGATCCAACGGCACTCGGCAACCTCCAGAGAAAATCTGGTAAGTGTTGGTGATAAACATTTAATTATTTTCCTAATATTGTATATATATCTGTGTACCTCCCCCCCCCCTCCATCCGCAAGTCCAACCTAAATGATGCAGTCCACTTTTAATATAAATATTATTACCATAATTATTGGTTATATGTTTATTAATTTAAATATAATTTTTAGGTCCAGGGTTATATGTGCACTACAGGACTGTGGGTGTTGGAGGGAATGTTCTCAAGAGACTTATAATATCCAAAATTCCCACGTACCTCAGAGGTGCAACAAAATGTAAGTCGTTCTACTCAGTTGCCTTCTAATCGAATTATTTGTATGAATGCAGTAATGAGGTTTATGCAGGTAATTTTATTTCTCCCATGTTCTTTCAAAAATATTTCAAACTTTCGTTACATCGACACCTTGATGAATTAGATACATGTACAACACCGGGCTATCTTATTAAGACGTATCGCCAACCAGTGACTTTTCATTTAAAAATATCAACTCTGGCGAAAAATCTTGATAACTTTAATACCCAGGTGTTGCACGCATGTACTTTTTATCATATTTTGAACTTGTTAACTATTACATGAGTTTCAAATTGTGAGCCATAAGTGAGAGGCAATGTAAACAAACACCAGACGAAGCCTATAAGATGCGCGTAATAAAGTCAGTACAGTGAGTGTATTACAGAAAGTACAGCCTCTTATGTCTTCCGACACAGAGAACAATACATACAAATTGAAATTCAAGACACAGTTGTCTTCATATACTTGAGACGTGAGTCAGTCTCTGTGTTACACTCAGCCTCGTGATTGATGTTCCACTCTTGGCAGCTGAATAAAGGTTTTCGATCCAAGGAATTGAAGCAACCCTCTTCTTCCCTGGATCCAACCTACTTGGTTCTCATTTCCCTGGCGTTGAATGCCCCCTACGAGTTAGGGGCTTTCCGATGAATGTAATATTTCTTTTTTAAGTGATTAGGAGAATTGCAGCCTTGAAGAATCACCAACACTTATCATCTTATTGACTCACCAACACTTAACATCTTACCGACTCACCAACACTTAACATCTTACCGACTCACCAACACTTAACATCTTACCGACTCACCAACACTTAGTATCTTATTAACTCACCAACACTTAACATCTCATTGACTCATCAACACTGGACATCTTACTGACTCACCAACACTTAACATCTTACTGACTCACCAACACTTAACATCTTACCGACTCACCAACACTTAGTATCTTACTAACTCACCAACACTTAACATCTCATTGACTCACCAACACTGGACATCTTACTGACTCACCAACACTTAACATCTTACTGACTCACCAACACTTAACATCTTACTGACTCACCAACACTTAACATCTTACTAACTCACCAACACTTAACATCTCATTGATTCACCAACACTTAACATCTTACTGACTCACCAACACTTAACATCTTACTGACTCACCAACACTTACATCTTACTGACTCACCAACACTTAACATCTTACTGACTCACCAACACTTAACATCTTACTGACTCACCAACACTTAACATCTTACTGACTCACCAACACTTAACATCTTCTGACTCACCAACACTTAACATCTTACTAACTCACCAACAAATTAACATCTCATTGACTCACCAACACTAACATCTTACTGACTCACCAACACTTAACATCTTACTGACTCACCAACACTTAACATCTTACTGACTCACCAACACTTAACATCTTACTGACTCACCAACACTTAACATCTTACTGACTCACCAACACTTAACATCTTACTGACTCACCAACACTTAACATCTTACTGACTCACCAACACTTAACATCTTACTGACTCACCAACACTTAACATCTTACTGACTCACCAACACTTAACATCTTACTGACTCACCAACACTCAACAATTTACTAACTCACAAAAACTCGACAGTTAAATTTAGCATCATTAATCGCAGATTTAAGTAGATATTTCTGTATTCTGATATCATGTAAAAGTTGTATCCCTCACCAAAAAGTTCCTGGTGGTGTATCCTTCACCACTAGTTCCTGGTGGTGTATCCTTCACCACTAGTTCCTTATGGTGTATCCCTCGCTACTAGTTCCTGGTGGTGTATTCCTCACCAAGTAGTTGTTGGTGAAGTATCCCTCACCACTAGTTCCTGGTGGTGTATCCCTCACCACTAGTTCCTGGTGATGTATCCCTCACCACTAGTTCCTGGTGGAGTATCCCTCACCACTAGTTCCTGGTGGTGTATCTCACACCCCAATTTCCTGGTGGTGTATCCCTCACCACTAGTTACTGATGGTGTATACCTCACCACTAGTTCCTGGTGGTGTATCTCACACCACTATTTCCTGGTGGTGTAACCCTCGCCAGTAGTTCCTGGTGGTGTTTCTCACACCACTATTTCCTAGTGGTGTATCCCTCACCACTAGTTCCTGGTGGTGTATCCCTCACCACTAGTTCCTGGTGGTGTATTCCTCACCACTAGTTCTTGGTGGAGTATCCCTCACCATTAGTTCCTAGTGGTGTATCTCACACCCCTATTTCCTGGTGGTGTATCCCTCACCACTATTTCCTGGTGGTGTATCCCTCACCACTAGTTCCTAGTGGTGTATCTCACTCCACTATTTCCTGGTGGAGTATTCCTCATCACTAGTTTCTTATGGTGTATCCCTCACCACTGGTTCCTGGTGGTGTATCCCTCACCAAGTAGTTCCTGGTAGTGTATCCCTCACCACTAGTTCCTAGTGGCGTATCTCACTCCACTATTTCCTGGTGGAGTATCCCTCACCACTAGTTCATTATGGTGCATCCCTCACCACTATTTCCTGGTGGTGTATCCCTCACCAAGTAGTTCCTGGTGGAGTATCCCTCACCACTAGCTCCTGGTTGTGTATCCCTCACCACTAGTTTCTGGTGGTGTATATCACACCACTATTTCCTGGTGGTGTATCCCTCGCCACTAGTTCCTGATGGTGTATCCCTCACCACTAGTTCCTGGTGGTGTATCCCTCACCACTAGTTCCTGGTGATGTATCCCTCACCACTAGTTCCTGGTGGAGTATCCCTCACCACTAGTTCCTTATGGTGGATCCCTCACCACTAGTTCCTGGTGGTGCATCCCTCACCAAGTAGTTCCTGGTGGAGTATCCCTCACCACTAGTTCCTGGTTGTGTATCTCTCACCACTAGTTCCTGGTGGTGTATCTCACACCACTTTTTCCTGGTGGTGTATCCCTCACCACTAGTTCCTGGTGATGTATCCCTCACCGCTAGTGCCTGGTGGTGTATCCCTTAGATTCTGGTGGTGTATCCCCCACTTATTCTGGTGGAGTATCCCTCACCACTAGTTCCTTGTGGTGTATCCCTCACCACTAGTTCCTGGTGATGTATCCCTCACCACTAGTTCCTGGTGGAGTATCCCTCACCACTAGTTTCTTATGGTGCATCCCTTACCACTAGTTCCTGGTGGTGTATCCCTCACCAAGTAGTTCCTGTTGGTGTATCCCTCACCACTAGTTCCTGGTTGTGTATCTCTCACCACTAGTTCCTGGTGGTGTATCTCACACCACTATTTCCTGGTGGTGTATCCCTGGTGGTGTATCCCTCAGCACTTGCTCCTGGTGGAGTATCCCTCACCACTAGTTTTTGGTGATGTATCCCTCACAACTAGTTCCTGGTGGTGTATCTCACACTACTATTTCCTGGTGGTGTATCCCTCATCACTAGTTCCTGGTGGTGTATCCCTCACCACTAGTGCCTGGTGGTGTATCCCTTAGATTCTGGTGGTGTATCCCCACTTATTCTGGTGGAGTATCCCCACTTATCCTGGTGGAGTATCCCTCACCACTAATTCCTTGTGATGTATCCCTCACCACTAGTTCCTGGTGGTGTATCCTTCACCAAGTAGTTCCTGGTGGAGCATCCCTCACCACTAGTTCCTGGTTGTGTATCTCCCACCACTAGTTCCTGGTGGTGTTTGTTGCTTGTTCAGACCAGAGCTTTGGTAAGATGGGTAGGGAAGAAGGATGGGTAAGGATAGAAATATTGGAAAAGGGTGGGAGGGGGGTGAGAAGTAGGATATAAAGGCAAGTGGCCCAACCACTTTGGTGTAATTTAAAAAGTGTACGTGAAATGATAAGATATTATTTAAGGGGTATAAGACTAAACCATCAGAGTCACATAGATATAACAGATATATAAGTACATGACTCTGAATTGGTAGTAATTATACAAGTTGCAATTTTTTTTTTTTTTTTTTTTTTTTTTTTTTTTTCGATTGCACAACGGATATTTATGCGACAAGGAAGGCAATAATTTTCTGGTCAGTTTATAGAATTTCGTGACAATGGCTTCCTTCAGGTGGTGTCCAGCCATAGAAAATAGCATAATTTTTACATTAGAAAGTCATATAAGATGTCTTCCTAATTGGGGGCGATGATGTTCTCAGTATACATAAGTGTTCTGGTGTTACCCAATCTTCTTCATCAGGGGGTTTTGCTCAATATCATGGATCGAGGGAAAATCATCTTTATGAATAAAACGCCGGACCCTCTGTGGGAGAGTCATTCTTGAGCCCTGTGAGGAGGAGTATTGATTATATTAAAATCCTGGAAATTACCACTTGTATAGGATGTTCTCTATTGGCATGTATAGTTCTTGCTTTGAATAGAGTTGTTTCTTTTTTAGAGTGTCGGGGGCGTACATTTATGGCAGTAATATCTGTTGTATGTGTAAATCTGCCATTTTAACTGTCTCTCCTCCTGGTATAGGAAAAAAATTAAAGCGAAGGGGGAAGACTTCTAGTATTTTCTGGGGACCCTTTTGGTAGCCCCCGTTAGCCCATTTTTTGGTCTTCCCCTTTTTGGTTTAATGACCATTTTGGGAAACACAAGGGTATTCGAAGGTAAATGGTTTGGTGTATTTCTTTCACACCCCCAAATCTATTTCCCCTGGGGGGGTTTTATCCCTAAACACTAGTTTCCTGCGGTGTTTTGGGTAGTATTGATATATTCCGGGTGGGTATCCTCCTCCAATATTCCCTTGAGCTGTCTTTTCGTCTACCACGTGTTGCGTGTTGACAAGTACCCTGGTAAAACCTACCACGGGTTGTTGGGTTAAGACACATATGCAACAGTTAGACAACTTTATTCCGAAACGTTTCGCTACACAGTAGGCTTCTTCAGTCGAATACAGAAAGTAGGCAGGAACAGTAGAGATTTGAAGACGATGTAATCAGTCCATCACCCTTAAAGTCGTAGA